TTTCCCAAATGAGGATTATCTTTTTGTAATTGTTGGTAACACTAATGAGGATTATTTTTTTGTAATTGTTGGTTACACTAATTAGGTCAGCTGATTCTTTGATCAGCTGGCATTCCAAGACATTTGACAATTGTAAAACTTTTTGCAAAATCACTAATAAAGGAAAAATAAAAATGTCTCGACTTACTGCGGAACAAATTGCAGATTTTCTAAACAGTGAAAATGAACAAAGTGATGGTGGTGAATTATTTAGTGAAAGTGATACAGAATATGAACCTGAAGAAGATAATCTCAGTGCTGCACTCACCGAGTCTTCTGAAAGCGACAGTGATGAAATATCAAATGCAGAGGAATCTTCTGATTCATTGATATCAAAAGATGGGACATCTTGGAGTACAACACCCCTGATTGAAGGTAAAGAATTCGTAATAATTTTCCTGTTTGAATTGTTTACATTCTGGACTATACTTGTATATAGCTGGGAGAGCAAGGAGTTGCAACGTTTTGAGCTTGCGACCAGGAGTTACACGATATGCAAGTGCTCGTGTGGATTCAATAAAAGACGCATTTTTACTGTTCTTTCCTCCTCCAGTTGAAAATATAATTTTGAGGAACACGAACACTTATGGCAAACATATATTTGGTCAAAACCACAAGGAAGTAAATCGCGACTTGTTGCATGCTTACTTTGCAGTTTTGCTAATGGCGGGAGTGTATAAGTATGAAATGTCTAGCTATTATCCTCCGTTTCATTTTACTCATGGTTATACATATGCAATTTTTAGATCAAAAAATGAAAACGTTGAAGACCTTTTCTGTTCAACTTATGGAAGACCAATATTTCGATCTATAATGTCTAAGGAAACATTTCAAAAAATTACCAGAATAATACGGTTTGATGATCCAACTTCGCGCCGCAACAACTGTGACAACTTTGACAAATTTACACCAATACGCAACTTGTGGGATAAATGGGTGGAACTGCTGCCAATGTATTATAACCCTAGCGAGTGCGTTACGATCGATGAACAGCTTTTGGGGTTTCATGGAAGATGCAGTTTTCGCCAATACATGCCGAGCAAGCCAGAAAGGTATGGTATAAAATTTTGGATGCTTGCATGTTCAAAGTCTTGCTATGTATGGAACATGCAACCATACTTGGGCAAACTGCCGGGAAACCAACCCGAAAGGATTCAAGGACAGCGCGTTGTACTTGATCTTGTAACCGGATTGAAAGGCCACAATGTGACTATAGACAATTTTTTTAGCTCATTCGAGCTTGGCCAGAAACTTCTTGAAAAAAATTTAACAATGGTGGGGACAATGCGTTCTGCAACAAAATAGCAGTTTTTAAATGATATCTTTATTCGCTCTTCGGTAAAATATAAGGTAAATTCAGTTCGGGTCGAAAACGACCCGAAGCGTAGAATTATGGAGTATTTTTTTCAGGACGAAACAATGACGGCTAGCAATATGCTTTTTACGTAATTTCGTTCATTGCAAATAATAATTAAAAGTGAAAAACTTTCAGACTTCTAATTCCACTACGCATAGAGTTATATCTACTCAAAAGAGATTTTCGGGTCTTTTTCGACCCCAACGTAGGTCTACGGTTAATTTTTCAATATTTGGTGTAGAGAAGCACACCGGGGTACCGCTAGTACATACACAAAATGTGAAGTTACATAAAAAAAGATGCTTTTATTATTGTTTTCGTCTTTACTAACTTTTTAAAAAGAGGTGCGTATGTTGTCGAATTCGAATTTGCAATGGAGCTTTGTTCTTCTCTTCCTCCTGACGGCTTTCAAAATGGAATTCATTTGCGTTCCATCTTCCACTCTGCAGTAAATGCAAATGTTGTGGAGTGCTCAAACAACGTTTATAACTTCACTGGATTTGAGCGATGAGTAATACACTTCATGATGAATTTATGACTCTTCACTCATCTGAGAAAGATCAAACATGTCCCTAAATCTCCGCCTTTCAATTTCCGCATCAGCAATCTGGGACTCGTTCTCCTCTTCAAGCAATAACGCCGCGGCTATGGATTTCATTTTTATAATTATGTTTCCACTTAAATAAAGCGCAAACGAAATTTTATTTTTAAATTACAATGATGTTAGATATATTCAGTTATTTTAAAATATTTACAAAATTTAACTTCATAAGCTGCTATAGTTTGGTGGCAAATATTTCTTTTGTTTTGTTTCGATTTCACACATTCCTAGACAAACAGCTGATTTCGAGAGATGTTTTCACTCTTCCTCTTCCTCTTTCGATTCGATCGTAACGCAGAATACCTAAGTTCGATTCTTGGGGAGCGGAATGCGGGAACGTAATCGAAATGCAGAATAGGGCTGAATGAATAAAACCCCTTCCGGATTAAGCATTCTACTAGAAAAGTGCAGCTAAATAAAATAGCTAATCGAATAGGCAGCTAAACGGAATGTACCGTAGTAGAATAATTTTATTTTAGAAATTTGATCGTTACCTTAATCCATCTAATATTAATAATGGAACAAAATTTGTAGTACAAGTGATGATCAATATATATTAGTTATAGCACGATAAAGCCAAAAGTATGGCTCCTAAGGATGCCTTAATGTAAACAAAGAAAATAGTTTGTCTCCTTTAAATTATGCTGAACTGAATATTTGTATTACTGTTTTATATTTTGATTTGTTTACCCCGAACTACATTGGGTGCTCTGCTAGTCTTATATATTAATAAACAAGCATGATTTTTGTGGTACACTTTTGAGGTAGTTCATCCCCATTGATTTTCATGAAACTCATATCAAAAGAAAGAGGATTTAATGTTGATGTGCCGAATTTAGTTTTTAACCCTCTAGGAGCCACATTGAGTATATTAAAAAAAAAACTATTTCCAGTGATTGGTACAAGTTCAGCCCGAATATCAGTTAGGGAAGCAACATGACATCTTCTATATATATAAAACTAGCAGACCCGGCGAACTTCGTCCCGCCCAAAATTTTTATATATTTTATTGAAACTTTTTGGTCCAACATTTTCACCAACAATTCACGTTTACGATTTTCATTGGCACATTTGTCTGCTAAGATTAAGGTTTGGTGGTCATTTGCCGCTTTAAATAACCTCGTCCGTCCGTCCGTCCGTCCGTCTGTGCACACGATAACTCGAGTAAAAATTAAGATATCTTAACGAAACTTGGTACGTGTACTTACTTCGGGCGTTGGACGGATGGTATTGAAAATGGGCTAAATCGGACAATAACCACGCCTACCTCC